TACACTAATTTATCTGGGACTTGTCAAAAACAGCAACGAAGATAAAAAAAACATTTGAATTTATTTTATCATGCCTCAAATTAACCAAAAGTATACTCCATGGTTAGCTTTTTATAAAATCATCAAGAAAACAAAATGCTGTGTTTCCAACAAATTATTTACAACAAAACAATCAATATTGGACTTTCTCTTGCTGATATCTATATTAATTCTGTATCTATGATAATTCCAATTTGGAGATTCATTCTGCACAGTGTAAATTCCATCACATTTTGGTGTCCCATTTTACACAATCAAGTGAGAATATATTTGTATGACCTGAGATCTTTTTGTGGTTCAGATCGAATAGGATTGGGAATTTCTGATCACTTATGCCTGAGCCCTAGAGAATCAAAGATTACACTGAGCTAAATGTTCATTGGGAACTGCACCCAGTCCTAATTTGTTCCAGCTACTGCTATAATTCCCCTCTGAAATTAAGTTTATGGAAAATAGAAAAAGATGGGCTGCTGGAAAAAGGGCTAAAGTTAGGTCCATCTGGTTCTAGAACTTTTATCTCAAACAAAGTTTGTAAATTGCATGAAATTCTTTGCTGTTTGTTGAATCCTACTCACTTTCCCAGGGTGAAAAACAAACCCCCCTTCCTGTCCTGTAATATTTACATCTGCTTGAGTATACACATTTTTTAAAAACCTTAAACTGAAGTAATTAGACCAAGTACCATCTTAACGTGCAGTCTTTGAAATACTTAACACACTTAAACAAATTCAGGTCACTGTCACATTACCAAGAACACGACTTCAGCTTGTCTGTAAATTGGTGTGTCTGATCTGTTTAGATATATTTTTAGATGTGGGTCTTCAACATTAAATGCCTTGTACTCTTATGTATAAAAACGTTTTATTGCAAAAAAATTTCAAAACTGCCACAAAGACTATGCTGACCGTGTGTGTTTTCACAGATCTGCTTGGTCTGCATGAGAGTGTTGTCTAACTGCTTTCTGTCCACATTTATGCAGCTGTGTCTCTTCACCCTCTGAACATGGCAACAGAAACAGTGTTGCAGAAAAGAACTCAACAGCTTTAAAACCAAAGGACCCGGTCCAGCCCCAGCCCCACGCGTCCTAGCGCTAACCTAGGGCGCTGTGCCTCACCACCCCTCTCTGCCTGTTCCTCCCAACAGCACCCGGGGATGCTGTTTGTGAGATTGCTGCGAGGATTAATTGAGGGAACTGGACAAGGCTCTCAGCCGAGAGCCCAGCACACAGTGAACACGCAAAAGCACAGGAGCTACCTTCGAACCACAAAACATTTTAGGGCAGGGTCCAGTGACTCATAATTATCTCATTACACAGCCACACAGCCACAGTGCCTCCCAGCAGGAGCAGAACACTTGAAAATTATGTGATCAAAAAGAAAATTTCCTAGAAAGGTAGACTTAAAAAAAATTAATGTAATTAAAAGTGAAAAGACCTCATTTAAAGTCTAACTTTGGCTTGTTAATTAAATGACCAGTTCTGGTTGGTTCTTTTATTCTAACTGACCATCTCACTGTGTAAAATGGACAAGACCTGGAAATGGTGCATGCTTGGTAAATTCGTACTGAGACATGGTCTCCGACCGCATTTTCTAGACTATTATCCGTCTGAGAGTATGAGATCTCTCCCTTTGAAGGACAGCCATGAAACTGATGGGGACTTCCCAACACGTCAGTTGCTAGCCGTCGTGGGCTTCTCTCTGGTGACAAATACATGGAGCAAATGTGTGACTTCAGGGGCACTAGCTGATTTAGAGCCTAAGCTGTGAGTCCAAGGCTCGTGGGGTTTCCAGGAGCGATCGGAGACCAGTCCACTCCCAGAAAGCCCCAGCCGAACAGCTCTGTGCAGTGATCGCTGAAACTTACCTTGAAGTTCGCCTTTTTCCCCCAAGCAAAATGCCTCCTCCCTGATGATCACAGTCCTTCAGAGATGATTTTACTCATTTCACAGGTCTCCCGTGATGGCTGGAGGTCTCTTTGCTGTGGACCGAAAGTGGTTTTGGGAGCTGGGTGGCTACGACCCCGGCTTGGAGATCTGGGGCGGGGAGCAGTATGAGATCTCCTTCAAGGTAAGCCCCAGCCCCCCCTGTGCCGGTGGCGTTTTGACGGCTCTGGTGGGGTGTCACCGTGTTGTTCTCGTGACCTGTGCTGTGCATTGGCAACGAAAATAGACATGTCACTTTCCCACGTCAGCCCTGGGGTGAGAGAAGTTGCTTCCTTCGGATGGTCCAGGGAGACGCAGTTGTGCCATAAAAGAGAAGCATTCGAGAGAGAGTTCAAACTCCCACCTGCAGGCAGGAAACGTGGGGTCGAGCACATCTCCTGCCCCACTGACGGTGCATTCCTTCTGGGGCACCCAGCACACAGACGGAGGGGAATTAAGGTGGAAAACATCCAGTTACTGGAGTTTTCGCCCTTCTGTATTTGTTCTAGAAACAACAGTTCACATTTTGCTCATAACCACTTATTCCACACTTTCAATAACAGAAGAGTAATTTAAAAATATGAATGACAAATGAAAGCTATCCTTTGTGTAATTCCAAGTGAGTCATTAATTTTTATCGGAAATTTCTTGCTTTGACCGTAAGTACTCACTAAAATTACTTTATTATATGTGCACACACATGATATACACACATATAAGATAGAATATCAAACTCCAGGGTTTTTAAATGAAAAAAATTTACCACAACATGTAAAGACCAGATAATCAAAGCAAAATAGACTGTGCAAAAGGCTTTCAGTTTTCCTTTATCATTGTCATTATTCACATAGAAAATAGAATGATTCTTGCAAGGTTTATCATACAGAAATCTCATTAAATAAGTCAGCTTTTCCTAATTGCCTACACTATAAAATCTAACCAATCCTTACTGAGAAAATTAAGTGTATCCTGAATACAGTGAAAGTCAAACTTAAGAATCCAGCTAAACTTTTTGAATTTATGCATAAAAGAAAATAAAACTGATTTTGATAAAACAAACAACTATATTCAACGTGTTAACAGTCATGTTACGTTGCCCTCAAAGTGTCATGAAATAAACAGCCCCAAAGAGCAACTCAGGAGATGTGATTTCGGGCTTTAAGACATCTAGAATTTTCCATTTCACTGCTGGCAGTAAACCTGGAAAGACTGTTTACTAAGTTGGTGCTTTGTTTCACTATCATTGAAACTCATCTAATTTCACGTCTAAGGTACTCTTCCCCTTAACTTTTGTATACGTACCTTTGCTCCATTTAGTGAGCAAAATGCTGGGATGGACCAGACACTAAGCCATGAGTTTTACATGTGCTGTATAATTTAAAACCACAACTCTAAGAAGCAGGTGTTATCCCAGATGAAGAAACTGAGACAAAGTTTTAAAGATTTTAGATTTATTTTAACTTTTAAAGATTGAATAAAACTACCCAGAGTCACTAGGGATTTAAAAGGCTCCATTCCTGCTCACTTGCACAGAATCCAGGTACACAAAATTGTCTGTTCACTCAAGTCACACCTACCAACCCCACTCCAGAGTTCACTGTCACAACCTTTCCATCTATGCCTAACGGTTCCTCTCACCGAACAGAGGCGAGTAGCTTCACTATAGTTTAAGATCCTAGCAGCAAGCTTTCTGCTGACCCCGGCAAACTACAGCTGATTGTCAGACAGGGCCCAGAGCTGGGTGTGACGTTTGCAGTAATACCTTCCACTGGGAGAACAGAATGTTGCGTCTGACCCCAGCAATAAAGAAGAAGAAAAGAAAAAGGCTCTGCTGTTTTTGCAATTTCATCAGAAGTCAAGGGACGCTCTTTAGTTTCCACAGTTTCAGAGATTTCTTTTTCTCAGATTCTCTTAATTCATGAATTCTTTTGAGTTTAAAATGCTATGAAGAAAATCTCTGTTAAGCAGGAGATACCTGGTTCTGAATAACAAACAGGGTGCGGATAGAAGCGCGATGGAGAGTCTGCACAGTCCGCAGAGCAGACGCTCGTGCTCTGAAGCCGCTAAGGTGTTTCCCAGGCAGACATGAGCTTGAGTCTCCAACTTCTCTGTCACTGGTATCTGTCGCTTCTCTTCTGGGCGACCTGAGATTTTACTACCCCGTTTCCTATTTTTCAGTTATCTGTCATTCTGAAGGATATAACTGGAATGCAGCGTAGCCTCTTTGTCTAGAAACCATGGCAACGGCGCCAGAGGTTCGGACTAAATTGCCCCAGGTTGTTTGGCTGGAATGACGGATTCTCTGGTGACAGCTCTGTCTTGCAGGGTCCCATTTCAGACACATCCCTCCATTCCCCCCGCTACTGTGTGCTGACCTCAGGGGTTCCTGTCCATCCTTATTAGTATCTGTAACATAAGGGGGACAAACTTGAGCAGGTCTTTGGTAGCATTTGCATTGAAGACAAAGAATTTTCTCCATGTGACAGAAATCAAAAGAACTGCACACAAACACCTCTGTTAAATGGTATTAAAAATAAAAGAGAAAAGGAATACATATGTACAGCTGAATCTCTATGCGGTGCACCAGAAATTAACACAACCTTGTAAATCAACTATACATCAATAAAAAACAGAGAAAAATAAAAGGGAAAAAAATCAAACATCTGCATTTGGGGACACAGTCCATAAACCGTGATTAATTTTACAGTGTAAAGCACGGTGAGACATACACTGGTCGGCCCTTCTGGTTTGGGAATAGGGATGGATAGCTGGGAGTTCACTAGTCCATCTCACACCATAACCCAGAGATTGTTTCAAGTCTTAAACCTTAGAAGCTCTAATTCGAAAGCTTTCTATCTATGGTCATTAACAGGCATCTTTGCTTGTGGCTTGCGCTTCAACCAAGGAATCACCTCACCAGTGCTTGTGACAAGATTCCATCACCAAGTGAAATTTTTTCCAGAAAACTCTGCTTTATACTAAGGGCTGAGCTTTTGGTCAGACCGTGTTTGGCTAAGAGCGCTCGTCAATTCTGCATCTCTGTAAATGTCTTTCCTTCCTTTTTCTAACATCTGACCAGGTGAATAGATTTCATGCCATCCCATAAAAAGCCAACACGGCGTACTTTTTGGGAGGAAAAGAGCTCTCTAGAGACAAGATCTGTCTGCACTGCACCCAGTCTTGAATCTCCTTTATTATGAGTCTGAACTCCTACGTGGCCCAGAATGGCCCAGTTGTCTTTCAGACATTGCTAAGATGGCCAGCCGCCAGGGAGGAGGAAAAGCATGCAGTCAGCCATTCACAAGCTTTTACTGAGCATCTAATTTACACCAGGCACTGTTCCAGGTGCCCAATTTGGAGTTGCACCTGGAGACCAAGAGGAACTCAAGACAGGCTGCAGGGTGTGGCATGAAAGAGAGAACACACCTTTAAGATGATGTCTGCCACTGGAGTGACTGAAATAATGGTAAAGCCGTTGTGGGTCCCTGACATGCACTGTGCAAGCAAGACTCTGTGGAAAAATGTAAAGGAGGCCCAGTAGAAGTCTTCGGGTCAAGTGCAGCTGAGATGAGTCCTTCAGCCATTAAACATAAACTTCGATTAAAGCAGAAAAGCACAAAAAAACTACCTTAAGAATCTCCTCTAAAGTAAAACATATAAATGTACATTTATTCACCAGTCTTTTTTTTTAATTGAAGTATAGTCGGTTTGCAATGTTGTGTTAATTTCTGGTGTACAGCATAGTGATTCAGTTACACATATGTATGTCTATATTCCTTTTCATATTCTTTTTCATGATAGGTTATTACAAGATATTGAATACAGTTCCCAGGGCTGTACAGTAGGACCTTGTTGCTTATCTATTTTATATATAGTAGTATCTGCAAATCCCAAACTCCCAATCTATCCCTCCATCCCTCAACCTTCCCGTCCTGGTAAACATAAGTTTGTTTCCTATGTCTGTGAGTCTGTTTCTGTTTTATAAACAAGTTCATCTGTGTCATTTTTTTAGACTCCACCTATAATTGATATCAAATGGTATTTTCTTTTCTCCTTCTGGCTCACTTCACTTAGTATGAAAATCTCCAGGTCCATCCATGTTGTTGCAAATGGTATTATTTTACTCTTACTTACGGCTGAGTAGTATTCCATTGTATAAATATACCACAACTTCTTTATCCAGTCATCTGTTGAAAGACATTTAGGTTACTTCCGTCTCTTGGCTACTGTAAACAGTGCTGCTGTGAACACTGCAGCAAGAGAGGCTTTGGGTCCCTGACTGGGGACACCTAGAGGCACGTGAGCCACATGCACACTGCATCCTCCACGAGCTGCACTCTGGGCTCCTCTAAATTGGAACGAGAACCTAAAGACATCTGGAAGATGTCTCAATCCAGGAACAGAATCCTTCTGATTTTTTTATGATTTTATCCAATCTTTTAGGATTACTTCACTCACATCCAATTGGACAGCAATTTTTTTAACAACAACTCCATCTTTCAAACTCCTCAGATTAGTTCTGACATGAACAACAACACTTCAGAACACTAATGTCATCAGTTTAAGTGATATTTAATTAAATCACATAATTACAATTTTTTAAAACTAGCATAATCACATTTGGGAAGAAACGCCCTGCCTTTGAGATACACACATAACAACTATTATGAGCCGAAGATTCCGTGTGTATTCAGTGCAGCCTGTATTCAGCCATGTCAGCCTCCTGTCCCATCTCATCCCACCCCAGACCCTTCAAGGCCTGGGACCACAACCGCTCTGGCTGCTTCCTGCTGAAATGGGGTGTAGTCCTACCTCGATTTGGGGAATGGATGCCAAGTTGGAAATACTCCCAAGTTCCAAGCACTGGATCCAAGTCTTGTAGGATTAAGATCTGACAACCAGAGGAATTCAGAAGAAGCCTGAAAACCAGCCTGGACCTGACACTTTAGGGGAGACCTGTAGCCAGATAGCTAGTTGTCTGAGTAGGTTTTAACTTTTGATCTGATTAACACGTACACGACACGAGCTATGGCCACTTCACGTGTCTCCTTTTTCTAACATCTGATCTACAACAATTTTATTGTCTAAAAACTTAATAGTTGTAAGAGGAGACCTTGAGGGCACAAGGTTGCAGCTGCCACCTGG